CAGCATGAACGTCACGTCGCTAACTGACAGCTGTCAATGTCAATAGACGCATTAGATTATTGCGGAGCGATCCTGGAAAGAATTGTGGCTCTGAGTTTTTTAGTTATCACGATAGTATCTATACTATTATAATAAAGCGTAAACACACACTTCTTTGTTGCCTAAGATGTCAGCAATTACAGCATATTTTTAAATATTTTTTTTAATAAAAAGCCCTACACCTACTTCACGCTTCAGCCTATATATTTTCACTCTATTAAACTTAGTTTGTAAATAATTGGGATAAAAATCCTAATGTGGGAAAGAGACCATGAGTTGCTGCCAACATCAAGGAATCAAGATTGCCCTGGGTTGTCTTGATGTCATGTCATTTTGACATTTACAATTGATAAATTGAAAAATGTAAACGATAAAATGAAGTTTTTGTGAATACCAGATGAAGCCGCATGGGAACAGCTAGTGAATTATATAGATTGTTTAAAAGTAGAAATGTTTGTTAGGCAGATAAATAATATAAAATGTAAATAAATTAAAACTTCACACCTGCATATATTACATAAAACTTTGTGTTATATCATGATAATTATAAAATTTCACATTTATTATTACTTTTATCGAATTTAGTTAACATTTATAAATTAGTTTGATTAACTTCATTTTGTGTGATTAAAAATAAATAACTTTGTAGGTTAAATGATGACGTAGTCTAACCGTACTTGATTTAGAATTAAAAATAGACGCCTCGCAGTATAGCGTGAGAGTATTCTTGCGTTAAATGAACATGAACTTGTATTTATTTTCCCCAACAGATGGCGCTCGTAACACTTTACTGTCTGTTTTCTTTTTGTCATGACTTTTAAAAAGTCTTAAAAAAACCGTCTTTACAAGCATTTATTAAATTGAGATACAAGTAAATTGTTGGATTTTATATTGTATTTTAATTGTCGAGTAAAAAGTATAAATACATTCAAACTTTAAGGCGAAATAGACTTAAATTGAATGTAGACCTGCAAGTGCAGATAGGGGTGCTGGAGAACGCAATATTGTAGCTTGGCGGCATAGTTTGGATGCCACTATACAAATATTTGACACACTTGAAACGAAACGCTTTGATTCTTATGAACTTACAGGGACGTGCGTGACTGATTTATAGTTGCCTAAACAGTTGAATTGTCTGCGAAACAATCGACAACCGCACAACAGTTGTTGAATTGTAAATGGTAGAGCCCGCTTTAACATCTTCGACCACGACCACACAGAAGACGGGCTTGAAGTGGGAGCAAATCCACGTTTCATCTGATGAGTGTGGTACCAACATTAGTCCCTTTTTCTTCCCACCCTTTTTCTTATAAGAAAAGGATGGGAAGGGAACGTGAACTTGACGATGGAGGAGACGTGTAGGAAGGGAAAATATCTTCTTTATGTGCGTTTCCTCCTCCGTCAATTAAGGGTAGGCAACACATCCGCTATTGCGAATCTCTCTGGGCAGCGGTCACTTCGCCATTTTGGCGGATTCAAGTGGCCGATTGCTCGTTTGCCACCTAATGATATAAAAAAAGTTGTCCGATAGTTTAGTCAGTGGTGCGCCCGCTCTTACAGTTACTAATATTGTTTGCACACAACCGAAAGCAAAGTTGCTCGTCACGTTGCGATTAACGTTTTTCTGCTTCAACAGCAATGTTAAGTAAAAGCTGTGCCGTTATCAACTACAGTTATACCGACTTTGCAAGGTCAGCGAAAACTGAATGTTCGTATTCCGAATGAATGCGCTCTTTTGTATCTGGGTTTCTGTGTTGCTTTGGTATGAATGGTGCTCTTTTAGATGGTTCTTGTTACAATGACCATGTGTAACGTAATTAGTTTTACGGTCAAGTTAAAATTTACTGTAAACATTTTGCGGGTTTATATTGATTTCATAATGAAAGAAATCTGTATATTCAGAATAGTAAATAAATTTAAAAAAAATGTAATTTTTATACTTAACTATTTGTACCTTAACGGTTTACGAAAGGAGTTGAAAGAATTGAGGGAATTTTGATCATGGATTTTACTTTATTTACCCTTGGTGCCGTTTTATTAGATGAAAATAAAATTAAAACATGCAGACGAATTGAGTTACTTTCTGTTGGGAAGTCGGTCAAATACATACAGACGAAATAAAAATCTGCTCCTTTTTGAAGGCGGATAAATACTTAATGAAGATTCTGGAAAACAACAACAATTAACACTTAAATAAGGAAAATGTGATTTAACCAATAAACGACGCGTCTATTGTTTTTGTAGGAATGTTAACAATGTTATTATAATAACAGACATACCATTTAAGACCTTAATCGTAAATGTAGTAAATATAAATATTCCTTGACTATTAAAATGTAACAATGGCATAAAATTGTATGAATTCTAGATTCATGTCGCATGAGACATCCACGGTATATAAACAAACACTAACAACGCACACACTTTTTACTATCTAACCTTAAAATTCTATTACCATCTCTGTTTTGTTCAAAGTAAATAAAAGAGATGACAATTGTTGTTGACGATGTTTTGTACAAATATTTTAGCATTATATTATGTACACACACTTCTATGTGGCGTAAGATCTCACAGCATATTTTTTAATAATCCCTTTTTAAAAAAAGGCCTACACTTATATTATATGTTTTCACGCTATTAAACTTAGGGGTAAATAAATTGGATAAAAAACTTCATGTGGAAAAGAGACCATAAGCTACGAGCTGTCAACATCAAGGTTGGCATGGTTTGTCATGTCATTTAGACATTTGCAATTGATAATTTGACATATGTAAACAATAAAATAAAATTTTCATAATTTTATGCGGATGAAGTCGCACGGGAACAGCTAGTGTAAGATAACTTTAATTGATTCACTTGTTTCTCGCACGATACAAGTGAAAGCGTTTCCCCTCACGATTTGACCTCTTTACTCCCGATAGATAGTTCCACAATCATGACTGGCTCCTAATCGTTTCGTGTTAACTAGTTACTTCCAAGAGTAACATCAATCACAACGTTACGAACAGGTAAAAATATACCCATCTCTATTATCGAAGTGTAGTAATAGTTGGAGTAACCGAAACAATTTTTTAAATTAGATTTCTATTGATACAGTACGAGACTTTTGTTTTTAATAAAGCAGAAATAATTTATGTAATTCCTAATTATCACTTAAAGTATAAGCAAATACAGCTCTTAACGCTGCGCGACAATAAACTCTAAGCTTGTCTTTAAGTCTCTAGGGTTGTTATATTCGCCATTTCGGTTCTAAGAGTAACAACCCTAATGCGAACACATGTGTAGAGTAATGCGTAATATTAACGGAAACAGTGTTATTCAGACAACGCGTGAACGTTTCGCATATGGGCAGCTGTTACAGAAATAAACTTTGTTTAACGACATTCTTGTTATTAAGCAACCGAAGGAGTGTTACTTAACGGTTCGTTACGCTGTATAAAAGTTTAAAAAATACCTTGTATACATGTGTAAAAAGATGTCTTAAATACTCTATTCTGAAAATAATACGTCAAAAATACTTAATTCATATTTACTACCAAGAAAAAAGTAACCAAATATTACTCCAATATTTTAGTTTAAAATGATACTTCGTTGAATTTCATTGGCTATTATTAGATGTTAAAAACAAACCCATCTTTGACCAACGTGTAAAGAACCGTTTATGAACTGGATTCACTCAGCATTTCTGTTACCTAAATACCCAGATATTGTCCACCTTTAGCTTCATTGTCCACGCCACACATTCGTTCTGTGGCCACAACACGTATTGTCTTTTGTCATTCAAATGCGCCATAAAACTGTCCTAACAAGCATTTTATAAAGACAAAACGATGAGATATATTCATTTATCAATGATTGTTAATTGTCTTTATATAAGAATATACTGTTTCAATAAAAAAAATAATTTTGTAAAGAGACAAAAAAGTAAGTCAACTCGAATGCGTTCCGCCTCAAATTATAATGTCGGCTGTCCAGTATCAAGATTCGGCTTCCCGTTCTGTTTTATTTACCACAAATTCGTGCTTTTCACGAATCATTTTTAAACTTTGAAAACAATGTAGAACATCGGGCGCATCCCTTTGACTAAACTATCGCACTACTGTTGTGTGATGTTCGATTGTAAATTGTTTCGCAGCCAATTCAACTATTTAGTTACATAACTATAAATCAAATAGTGTTCACACCTGAATATTAATCTAGGTGCGACTAAACAGTTGTGCGATAGTTTAGTCAAAGGTGTGTGCCCACTCTAACAGTAATTTAAAATTTCGAGAAAAGTAAATAATACTACAAGTTGTAGTTATTTCAAGTTTTTTGTCTGTAACGTATACAATCTGTCGATTGTTACTACGTTGAGTTATGTTGTAGAATGGTGGGAATTCTCTTTGTGTTCCAGCGTACGTTGGCTAATCATCCGTATGCCTTACATATATGTAGATCAAATCGCGGATGCAATCTCGTGGGAACTTAATACTTTAACAATTGCTCTCGCGTGAAAATCAAATTAAAATTATGTGAAAACTCATTGTTACGAGCGTCGGTGGCTCAGTGGTTTAAGCACTTGACTTGTAATCTACAGGTCTTGGGTTCGAATCCCGCCGCCATGTACCAATGTGATTTTCGATTTTTCGAATTTTCATATGTACATAATTTACCCGACGTTCTTACGGTGAAGGAAAACATCGTGATGCAACCTGCACATATCCGCGAAGAAATTCAAAGATATGTGTGAAGTCAACCAACCCGCACTTGGCCAGCGTGGTTGACTATGGCCTAGTCACCCTAACATTAGGGTAGGCTCCGAGCCCCTCGGTGGGGACATATAGTGAGCTGGTGATGATGAAAACTCATTGCACTTTCATTTGGCAAGAGAAGCGTAATTTTTAATGACTATCGAACTCAATTGTTTCTTACGTCAACATTTAATTCATTAATTAATTTATTATACTTTATTGTTCCAGATGGCGTAGAAAACCAGTCAGAAATATCCATCATAAATGCTATTAGACAATCTGATGGAAGGGGAAACTATAAGCGCGAAGAAATTGATATCATCGATCGAGAGGTTTAACAGTGAAGGCAAAGAACACGGCACTATCAAGGCTCTAATCAAGAACTTCATTCTACCAGAAACAGACATGGCCGTTAAAGACAAACAGGATGATAGAGACAGATGTGTGTACACAGTACCCATACAATCTTCATTATCACCAAAAAAATCAAGATCTACAATAAGTGACGCGAAAAAAGCCTTCCTTGATACTACAGTTAATACACCTTCAAGGAATTTTGATGTTGAACCTACATTACACTACGCACAAATTGCAATAACAACAGACAGCGAAGATACTAGAAGTACGGGCGGAGGGAAAGATGTTAACCAAAATAAGTGTAACATAAAAGAACAAGAAAAACAAATGCCCTTTAGTTCAACACACTGTCCAATTAATGTAAAGAAAAGAATAGAACAACAACAAAGAAAAGTCAGTTTTAAAATAAAAAATGGCTCTACAGGTTACAGGCGACCACCGTTAAGTACAAAAACCATGACAATAACAAGTAACAAAGTGTCTGAATTAACTAAAAAATTTAACGACTTAATAAAAGAACCAAATACTGCACCTAAAACGCAATCAAAGTTGGCAAAGACTATCGAAGACTTACAAGCAGCGTCCAGATGTTCTGTAAGCAATAGTTCAACTCCATCTTCCACACTAAGCTCTAGTCCTAACATTAAAATTGTTGTCAGACACAGAAAAGGTTCTAAAAAACGATATAACAAAAAGCGGTGTTCCAGTATGGATTCAATTGACCAGTTACTTTTAACAGAAGGCGCTTCGAGCAAAATTAGCATATTAAGATCTAAATCTGATGGCAACAAAATTCCTAAATCGCCAAAGAAGAGATTAAAGTATCTAGATTCAAGTGAACAACAGAGCGGATCAGATTCAGTTGACGGAACACCGACTAAAGTGAAGACTGAAGATCCAACGAACGAGAATAAGGAACCTCAAGAGCTAAATGTGGTCAAGAATGTCATAAAGAAGTTTGAATGTGAGATTAATGCACAATCTAATCTCAACGCCACTGTTAAAAAACAAAATAACCAAACAGAAAGCAATACAAGTACAATTCTACGAAAAGAAAAACCAAAAGTACCTGAAAAGAAATCATCATTAGTTTTAACAAAAAATCTTGTACTTAAAGACGGTGTGCCGAAAATTAAAACAATCAAAACAAATTTAGGAGACCCTATTAAAAAAATGAATACCAGCATTCCTAGCGTTGACTTAAACAAAAGGAAGGAACCCATTTACGATAAAATGAAATTTAAAACTAATTTCATACACACAGAAAAGCTAACATTGCATCCTGTGGAAATAATTCAAGAAGACCTAAACGAATCCTCGGAATCTAAAACCATTGCAAACGACCAAAGTGTTACTGTTACAAACAACATGTGCAAAGAAGATGAAAAAGAAATAAATTCAAATTTTACTCCAAACGAATCTTTTCTTTGGCGAAGAAAAGGAAGCACTTCAGTTTATTCAGACTGTGATAAGACATTTTCCGAAGGTCCATATGGTTTTGTTAGCATAACAATTAATGACAACACTATGCCATATGAAGAAAATAATTCAAAAGAATCTCAAGACACTGAAAACAACGAATCTCATATTGGTACTTTGACGGTTAATATTAAAAATGATTCCAATTCGGATTTCGAAAGCAATCTAGTCGAGGCTTATAATAAGGAAGTTCTTGTTGGTTTTACTACCAAACCAAAAAAAGAGGAGGCACTCGAAGATGACTACGAAATATTAGAACCGAGAGATGCGGATAATGTAGTAATAATTCCAATTAAAAGTATTGATAGAACTTCGAAAATTAACTGTCCTCTTCCTGAAATACCAAAAGAAGAATGTCAGTTATCACCGACTATGAAATCCAAAGAGGAAAACATATACCAAACTCTTTTAGAAGCGAGATCCCACCCAGAAGGAGATGAGAGTAGTCTACATAATTATGAGCTTTGTTTTAATCAATTAGAAGAGAGAACTCGAGGTGACGGCGACAGCGACGACGGGTACGAGTACTGCAAATCCCCCATCAAGCCATACTGCGTCACATCCAGTTCAGGCATTCAAATAGCTGAGGACTATCGACCTTACGGTCCGCAAGACAACACCAAAAACTATGCCATCACGAAATCAGTCAGCGGTACATCAACTGAAAGCTACGAAAAGATCGGTACAGGAAGGATTTATGAAAAAATTCCTCCCAAAGTCCAATCAAATCAGAGCAGTCCAGATTACAGCAGTAGACATTCTTTTGTGTCATCGAACTACACAGGTTATAATGACGGTGAGAATATTTACGACACAATCAAGCAAGCCGACAACACTTCACTATCTCATTGCTACGAAAGCATTCCAAACAGTCCTAGCATGGTGAAGCTAAGAAACAATTTGAAGAAGCAGCTGGCTAGTGCGGTTCAGAAGCGTTTGTCTTTTGATAACGTGTCCAACATAAGCCAGTCGACATTGTCCAGCGAACAGAAGACCAACAGCATCTACGGGCAGCGGTCTGTGATAAGTTACAACGGGCAGGAGATCGCCTTCCAAGTGCCGAGCAGTACGACCAGCGTGAGTGACAGGAGCGATCGCAGCGACGATTGGGTCGATGTCTCCGATGAAGAAAAGACTGATGAGCAGAAAATTGTTATGTAAGTTGCTTTGAAATATAATTTTAGAGTAAAATCAATAAGTACCATAAAGTTACTCTAAATAATGTCAATTATTTCTTTTAATTTGCGACAACATCGACTTGGGCGCCAAGTAAATGATGAAAGGGGATTTATAATTTCAATTCCTTTAAAATTGTATTTTTCTACTCCTAGATTAGATGTCTATATAAAAAATGAATCTACGAGATTTATTTATTGTGTCGTTCATACGACCTACATATTGCGGCGCCTAATGCACTACTCGAAGAGTAAAGTAAACAGTTTTATCAGATTCTGATACTGCAATATTATTTGAATCTAAGTCAGTCTGCGTGAAGTAGAGCAAAGTATAACACATTTTTTACAAATTCCTACGTGTCCCCAAGTAGTTTTAAAGTTATTGAAAATATCATCATTTAATAAATTCCATTCTAAATCCATAATATAATATAATGGGCAATATATCTGACAGCGTTCGCGAGAGAAGTCGCGGAAGAAAAAGTCCTATCAGCTGGTCGCAGAAAGTTCGGCATCAGTGGCAGAAAACTCCGAAGCAAAAATCGAATGACAAAGGTTAGTTTTTTTTCAGTTTTAACTTTGTATTTTTATTTCTACGCCCTCTATGTGTCGGATAATGTAACATTATAATTGATAGTTTTTAACTCTCATCGATAGATGGCGTTTATTTCATTTATATACCGAATCTGTTATTATGGAATCTGCAATTGTGTATTTTTAATTTCATAGGAATTGAAGACTGAAGTATTTACTTCATTGTAATAAAAAATATTACAGAACCCTTAGAAACCCTTAAGCGCCTGTCAAAAACATCATATTAAAAACAATAGCGCTGGGATCGTGCTAATGTAATGCAAGTACTATAACATTACTTTATTATATTTCAGTAGTTAATTAGATCCTTTCCTCTAAACTATGAATCGTCTAGATATAAAAAAAGCAAAATCATAATAAATTCGACTGTTGAATGCGCAAGAGTTCATCGCGCTTGTGACAATGCGATAAGTACGCATATTAAACAGAGGGCAGCACTGTTGCGAGTGCACGTTCTTACCCAGGAACAGCGTGGGCGGGCGGCGCCGCAGCCGCATTCCAGCGCCCACGAACAAGGAACAATTTGATTAATTGCTAAAATAACGTTCCGCTGTTTAAACATTCCTAAATAGAAACATAAAATTACGCTTATATAAGTAAAACAATACAAAAACCCTGTTCCTAAGAATTCTAGAAATATGTATTGTCACAGTTTTGTCTACATCAAGTATTATTATCGTTTTGCACTAAACTAATTAGAATTAAAATTGATTATTATGTTTCTTAATATATTTAATTAATAATGCATATTTATTGATAATTAAGTTTGCGTGATTACAACAACGGTATTGACCGTCGATGACCCACATAGATAGCGGTGAAACTGTACAATTAGGTTTGACATAGAGTACACGTTCCAATTTACCTAAGCAATGTTCCATAAAGCCTTTTTTATACATATTTGTTGTTTCTAAAAGGAGAGATCTCGATCTAAACACAGATTTATATTTGTAAATGGGTAATTTATAACCCTTAAATGCATATTGTTACCAATAGTCTACAAACAGAAGTATAGTTTTTATTGAATCTAAGATTTTTTAAATTATTTTTTTCCTTAATCTGTGACTCAAAAGTTATAGTGAAATATTTCTTTCATGCTTAAATAAATAAACATGCATTTAAGGGTAAAAGATTCATTTTCGAACCATATTTTCCATCGCTAAATATCCACTCCTTTATTTTGTATGGAAAGGGAAGGGCGAGGATGTAATCAAAATGTTATATGTTTTATTTAATTGCTAGTGTTTTTCGTTAATTCTTACTAAGGTTAATTTAGAATGTTTAATACAAAATCACAATTTATTTCGTGTATTCAAATCATACTTCATACTAATAGATGGATGGATGGATGGATGTTTGTTAGAGTTCGTAGCCTAATGGTTAAACGGATCTCGATGAAATTTGGCATAGACATAGAGAATAGCCGGGAAGAACATTTAGTCTACTAAATCTGTTTTTTTTTTGCAAATTCCATTTGAACGGAGTCGCGGGTGAAACCTAGTCTATACAAGTATTACAAAAAGGAAAACTTTGTTCGTTTGATTGTGGTGAAAAGGCTCAAAACTACCGGGCCGATTTTTTAAATTCTTTCTTCTTCATCTGTGAGTAACATAGGCTATATTTTTCAATGTTTTTTTTTTTAATTCCACGCGGACAGAGTCGCGGACGAAAGCTAGTATTTAGATAATTGTTAAGATAACTATGAGCGTTAAATGTAATGTCAAACTTTTCAATTATTCTGTTAACAGGCCATTGTCTTTATAGTCAAGGATTACCAACAATCGCAAATTCCCATCACAAAGTGGATTTTTTTAAACAAATTGTCATTCATCGTACGATTCTTCTTCTCACGTAGTAAGTGAGGAAGGTGACACTTTGAGCGGATTGTATTTTTATTATTTTGTTCACAACAAAAGTGTATACTTTAATTTTTTTTAATTTAGACAGACACGTGACAATGAGTTTCCACTGATTTTTTTTGTTAAACTTCATACTAATGTCATAAATGCGAAAGATTAGATGGATGGATGTTTGTTAGAGTTTGTAGCCTAAACTGGTGAACGAATTTGGATGACATTCGGTGTAGTTCCAGAATATAGTCTGGAGGAACACATGGGCTACTAGGCTACTAGACGGAGCCGCGGGCGAAAGCTAGTTTTCCATATTTATGCTCTACTCCCTGTGAACATTATCTATCAAGTTTTATAACCTATAACTTCGACTCTACTTTTAAATATCTTCATTTTATACTTACACATGAATTACATCAGTATCCTTGTATAGCCTATGTTACAAATAAGAAGTAATTGTACACAAATGTAGCACATAACACTTTGTAATAAGAACCATAATCGCGTCCTTGTATCTCATGTTGAGTGCGTGTACACATCCTTGACCTTAAAAGTAGGCTCGCGTTACAAATAGCCGCGAGTATCCAGTGTAGCATGACTCTAAAATAATTGACTCGGTTCAATAAACTTGTGTGTATGTTGCCAAGAGAGGTCAGTGTATGCTGGTCGGGATGACCAAACACTGCAACGATTTGTGCAATTCGTCATGACCGATCGTTTCGTAATGGCGGCGGTCGGATTACGTTAAATAGACTGTGAACATTAGTTGATATTCTGAGAAATATTAGACGCTAGTTCTATTTCAAATCACCTCTCACTATCTCTTATTTAAAGTAAAATAAAGCAATTTTTATGCAGTACTAGTTACAATAAAGAAAATCAAAAGTAAGTAGCCTATGTGTTCTTTCCAAACTATCCTATACATCTGTACCAATCTCTATCAGTACCAATTTTTATCGAAATCCATTCAGCGTTTAGGCTACAAACTCTAACAAACATCCATCCATCTAAACTTTCGCATTTGTAATATTAGTAATATTGTTAAGAATGAGTTCGTTGATGTCTTTTACATGATAATCAAGTTTCAAATTATTTAAACTTTTGTGAATTTTAAAATACAAGTTAGTTAAATAGCGGCAAACTCACATTTTGCATTCCGTACACTAAAACACTTAAAATTTAAGTAACTTATTTTTCATGTTGTAGATATGTTGTCAAGAACTTAGCTACGAAAACTACACTTGTTTTTTATATATGACAATAACTTGATCTTTCATTTCCGCGTCATTTCTCATTCATTGCTTAATATTGAAACTAGTTATACCTGTTGTGAAAGGCCTATCCTTTCTGCGAACTCGTTTAGACTCGTGTTTGAAGAAAACAAAATCCTACCATAAAACAAAACAACGCAAAACAAAGGACGCACTGAAAACTTCAAGCAGTCTCTTGAAATCATTATATTTTTATTTATTTGGAAAACTCACAGCCTAAATCTATACTATTATAATAAAAGCATAAACACACATTTCTTTGTTGCCTAAGATGTCAGCAATTACAGCATATTTTTGAATAATTCTTTGTTTAATAAAAAGCTCTACACTTATGTCATGCTTTAGTTTATATATTTTCATGTCATTAAGGTTAGGGGGTAAATATTTTGGATAAAAACCCTAATGTGGGAAAGAGACCATAAGTTGCTGCCAACATCAAAGAAGCAAGATTTCCAAGGTTTGTCATGTCATGTCATTTTGACATTTGCTATTGATAATATGACAAATGTAAACAATAAAATAAATCATAATTTCATGCGGATGAAGCCGCACGGGAACAGCTAGTTAACTATAAAAAAGATAACTGTGGGCCAATAAAAAGTTTTCACTTAGCCCTAACATAACACAAAAGACCTTTAGGCTAAAACTTTGACTCTCTACATTATATTCTCTTCTCTTTCACATTAAGGATTACAAATGAAAAGTCAAATTGTAATGAAAAATGTTATTTAATAGTTCTATTATCTATAATAGTATGTTATACAATACGGTAAAGGAATTACAATCCAAGCCGGACATATAAGATTGTAGTCTGAGAGCTGTCGCGGTACGATCATCGAAGCACGACCTACTCGTAAAACAAAATGGCGTACTCCCTTACAAAATAATTGTATAAACATACTGCAGCACTCAGTGTTGTATATTTTAGTATAAAATAAGTATGATGAATATACACAAATGATCTTAGTAACTTAACACCTCTGAGTTATCAAATAGAATGCACATTGAGGTTATCTTTGTTTACAAGACAGGCTTAATTTTAATATAGTAATATTTAATTTACTTTAAAAATATAATAACACTAGCTGTGCCCGTGCGATTTCATCAGCATAGAATTATTTTATTGTTTACATGTGACAAATTGTCAATTGCAAATGTCAACATGACACAACATGGCAATCTTGCTGCCTTGATGTTGGCAGCAACTTATGGTCTCTTTACCACATTAGGGCTTTTATCCAAAATATTTACCCGTAAGTTTAATGGCGTGAAAATATATAAGCTAAGGCGTGACGTAAGTGTAGGGCTTTTTCTTAAAACAAGAGTTATTTAAAAACATGCTGTAATTGCTGACATCTTAGGCAACAAAGAAGTGTGTGTTTACGGTTTATTATAATAGTATAGATTATGATGCCAATAAAAACGTTGTAACTAATCGGTAAAGAAATAAGTCAAAATTAAACAGTGTCTAAAATTTTAATTAGTAGAGTTCAATGAACTCTGCATTTTTAATTATGCTCTTAAAATTACCAGTTCTAACAATGTTTTTTTTTTTATAAATAAACCTAGGCAATACAAATTTTATTTTCCGCCCGTGACTCAGTCCGCGCGGAATTAAAAAAAAACAAAAGCGAGTAGCCTATTTGTTCTTCCAGACTATCCTCCACATGTATACCAAATTTCATCGAAATCCATTCAGCCAATTAGCCTACATACTATATACAAACATCCATCCATCTAAACTTTCGCATTTATAATATTAGTATGATACAGTAATTTAGTTTGTTAACATTTAATTAAAAAGTAAATTTAATTGTAATAAGATATTACCTTATTACGA